CTCTTACACCTTTCCTCCCCATCTTCCACAGTGTTCCCTGAGCCTTAGGTACAGGAGTATTTTGTAGATGTGTCCATTGGAACTGGACACCACAACCTCGCCATCATGATGGGAAGGAGGGAGATGGGAAAAAAACAAGAACGTGAGGCAATACTCGATGAAGGCATGGATGGAATCTGATTAGAATTAGATAAGAGTCAGAGGAGTGTAGGAGGAGGGCCTGCTTATACATCCCAGCTGCCTGGCTAGCTTAGCCCCAAAATGACCACTCCAGAAACTGTATTAATTAAATCACTGGTTGGCCCGTTAGCTCTAGCTTCTTATTGGCTAACTCTTAGATCTTAATTTAACCCATTTCTATTAATCTGTGCATCACAATGAGGTCGTGGCTTACCAGCAAAGTTTCAGCATGTCTACCTTCAATCACAGATTTATGGTATCTCTCCAACTCTGCCTTCTTCCTCCCAGAATTCAGTTCTGTCTTCCCTGCCTACCTAAGTTCTGCCCTATCAACAGATCAAGGCAGTTTCTTTATTCATTAATGGTAATGTCAACACATAGAGGGCACTCCCACATCATCTCCCCTTTTCTGTTTAAATAAAAAGGAAGGCTAATTACATATAATAAAACATGTATCAAATAAAAATTACAGTTACAATATTTATATCTACTTTATCTTTTATCATAACTAAGGAAAACTATGACTATCTATCTATTCTTCAACTCCATCAAAGACTCCAGAAGGATATAATATTACCTAATTAAACAGGAAGTACTTTGTAAGCAACTTCCAAAACTCTAGAATTGACAGAGACATCTGGCTGCCTGAACAGTCACCTAAAGTTCTTATGTACCGTTGGGACATCCATCTTTAGCCTACAGGCCCATAGTATTGAGTAAACTTTTTCCATGAAGCAGAAAATTTCAAAGACAGTTCAGTCACTTTCCTCTGTATCCTGCAGAATGTCTCGCAGACTCTTTCATGAAGCAGGAACCCCAAAAGATCATCTCACTTTTAGGCAAGTTCAGCAGTCATTTCTCTGTGGATCCTGCATGTCCAGTTAAGCAGTCCAGGCAAGAGCAGTTTCTTGCCCAAATGGCTAGCAAACTCCATAAGGAGCCTCTTTGATGCCCATCTTCCTCTTGAAGTAACTGGTGCTGCCAGGAGCAGACGTGTCTCACTGTCATGAAAAGTCCTAAGTTATTAAAACATTCTAAATGCCATATTCTGAAGGTCTCTGAAAGATTTGAAGAATACCTGTCTAACTGAAATAAAATTCTATATAGCTAGAAAACCTAACTAACATGACTACAAGCCTGACTATTATACATGATTATCTATTAACCTATATTTCTTAATTATACTTTACATTTTTTAAATGAGCTACACAATCACAATACCTTAATCAAGATTAGAAATACATATACATATAATAAAATTGACCTTAAATTTGTATCAATAAACCAAGATCCATACCAATGCAAATTATTCATATCTATATCATATCCCCCTTTAAATGTAAAAGAACATTTATAAACAATATTTGGGAATATTGGTGCAATTCTATCCATACTGCTTCCTGCTGATGGGGGTGCTGCTAATCAAGTCTTTCATGGTGTATCCTGTGTGCTAGGTTCATCTCTGTCAGCAGTTGGGTGAAGTAAATTTTGAGGGTGTTCACGGTCTATCAAACCATATTGGTCTATTAGCAATCCACAGGTTCTTATCCTCTGTGAAAACAAAAGAAGAATCTCCTTTCCAAAGCAATATATCCTTAAACTCAAATTTTAGAGTCAAGATACCTTTATGTTGGTTTAACTTAGCATCCCATACAATGAAAAGTCTCTCTGTACTTAACTCCTTCATACTCAAACAATTCAAAGAAAATAGAATAATATACATAATTCAGACTCTGTGAATTTTCCATTTTTATGTGGCTTATTTTTCTTTACTTTTTTTAATCTATGACTATCTGTACTCTGTCTCTTTAAAGACTTTTTTTACTTCTTTTTCAACTTTCTATACTCTTTTTCTTCTCTCTTCCAAGCCTACATACATTTATCCAACACTGTGACTCATTTAGAGTTCTTTTATATCTGAATCTGTCCTTATTGCATTATCTGTAATTCTCTACTGTCTTGAAGAAATTTTAAAATGGTAAGCCGCTTGGTTGCAGCTGCTCTGGATGCTGGCTCCACCTCTCTCCACTTTTAAAATAATGGATGCTCTGAGGCCGCCAGGTAAGTGCCACACTCAGCACTTTAACTCTGAGAATGAGTGTACAACACATAAACCCTTTTTATTGAGTAATAGCTAAATCTGCCATGCAACACACTGTGCAGCCTGGAAATATCTCTGTATATGGCAGCGGGAATCTGCCACGCTCTCCCGCCAGTGCAAATCTGGTAGACTTGATCCTGCCACCTGCCCAGGCAGGGAGTGCTGAGCCATAGGCATGGTCTCAGCCCCTTCCTCCCAACCCTGAGTGGGCACACAAACACCCAAGCCTACAAATGCCATTCAAATATTCAAGCTGGCGGCACAGCCCAGGAAACCACATTTTTTAAACCATGCGACTTTTTTCCTGCTACTGTTGAATCAGGAAAACTTCTCTTAAAGGAGCTGCAGCAAGCCACCAGCGAATGGTAAGAAGCTGTATTCAGCTCTGTACTTTTCTTTTGTCTAGAATTCCTTTTCAAACCCTCTCAGGTTTTACATGGATTTAGTTGGCCACATGGGTACCAGTTTGTTGGAGGAGGGCCTGCTTGTTCATCCTGGCTGCCTGGCTAGCTTAGCCCCGAAATAACCACTACAGAAACTGTATCAATTAAATCACTGCTTGGCCCATTAGTTCTAGCTACTTATTGACTAACTCTTACATCTTAATTTAACCCGTTTCTATTAATCTGTGCATCGCCACGAGGTCATGGCCTACCAGCAAAGTTTCAGCACGTCTGCCTCTGGCTGTGGATCCATGGTCTCTCTCCAACACTGCCTTCTTCCTCCCAGAATTCAGTTCCATCTTCCCCACCTACCTAAGTTCTGCCCTATCAACAAGCCAAGGCAGTTTCTTTATTCATTAATGGTAATGACAGCACACAGAGGACTCCCACATCAGAGGAATGTGGTAGCAAGAAACAGAACGCTGCAATAAAAGGAAATTAGTGTACAGTAAAATGCATCACGGATGCTATATTACTTTCCTGCTCCAAAACTCCAGTAAGAAATTGCTTCAACTCCTGCATTGCTGGTGGGAATGCAAGCTGGCACAGCCCCTTTGGATGTCAATGTGGTGATTTTTCAGAAAATTAGGAAACATCTTCCTCAAGACTCGGCAGTACCACTTTTGGGCATATATCCAAAGGATGCTCAATCGTGCTACAAGGACATGTGCTCAACTACGTTCATAGCAGCATTGTTTGTCATAGCCAGAACCTGGAAACAACCTAAATGCCCCTCGACCAAAGAATGGATAAAGAAAACGTGATACATTTATAAAATGGAGTACTACACAACAGAAAAAAATAACGACAGCTTGAATTTTGCAGGAAAATGGATGGAGCTAGGAAACATTATTTTGAGTGAGGTAACCCAGACACAGAAAGACAATTATCACATGTACTCACTCATAGGTGGTTTTTAACCATAAAGCAAAGAAAGCCAGCCTACAAACCACAATCCCAGAGAACTTAGACAACAATACAGACACTAAGAGAGACTTACATAAATATAATCTACATAGGAAGTAGAAAAATACAAGATCTCCAGAGTAAATTGGGAGCATAGGGACCTTGGGAGAGGGTTGAAGAGGAGGGGAGAGACAGGGAGGGGAGCTCAATAAAAATCAATTTAAAAAAAAGAAAAAAAATTGTTTCAGAGACTCTCCCAATCTCTTCAGATGGTGTTTGGCAAGCAGGTATATAATCAGAACTCTCTGGAAAAAAACAGAAGCGTCAGGATACAGATACAAAAAGAGGTTTGTTAGATATTTGTATTACTTGTCTCGTTGCTGTAACAAAAATGTCTAACAAAATCCACTGAAAGAGGAAAATCGAGATGGTTTAGCAGATAAAGGTGTCTACCAAGCCTGACAACCTGAGCTGGATCTGTGGAACCCACAAAGTAGAATAAGGGACCCAACCCCTGCAGGTTGTACTTCAACCTCCACAGGGACACCAAGGCATGCCCATGCACATACACAAAAAAAAAAAAAAGATAGATTATATATGTGTAGCCTTGGATGTCCTAGAACTAGCTTGGTAGAGCTAGAGACAAATAGAATTAAATTTAATTTTAATTAATTTTCTTTGTTAAGGCTGTTTGATCCAGGCTGGCTTTAAACTCACAGAGATCCACCTGTCTCTGCCTCCCAAATGCTGGTATTAAAGACATGCGCCTCCATTGCCCGGCTCAATTTCTACTTTTTAAGGAAGGGATTTTGGCTCGCAGTTCCAAAGGATACAGTTGGTCTTGACAGAGAAAGCGTGGTGGAGGAGCTGGAAGAGGTGGTCAGATCTCTTCCACAGTCAGGACGCAAAGGGTGACAAATGCTGACCTCAGCTGTCTTCTTTTTTATTTGGTCCAGGAGTTCAGTCCATGGAATGGTGACCTCCACATTTAGGGTGAGCCTTCCCACCTCAATGAACTTCTCCTTTATAATCCCTCACATGAATGTCCAGACGCTCGTCCATTCTGTGGTTACAGATTCCTCAAATAGACAATCAATATTAACCATCACTAGCCGTCACCTTGTCACCCAAACATTGATTTTAGGGTATAACTTTCATCCCCATAGGTTTGTGACCATCTCATAAACCAAACGCATTCAGTCCAACTTCAAAAGTCCCCTCTTCAAAATGTAAGTGCAGTCTCCTCCGAGCCACAGGCCGTCTCTTAACTATGACACCACCAAGTCCCTATGGTGTCACAAAGTCCCTATGACATCACAAAGCAAGTTACATATTTCCAACCCACAGTGGCACAGAGTAAACGCTTCCATTCCAAAGGGAAGGACGGGAGCATAGTGAGACTAAAATGCTTGTCATGCCCACATGAAGGCCTGAGTTCAGTCCCCAGCACTCACAAATCAGGTCAGACAAGGTGGGAATCCTAGCTCTGGGGAGGCAGAAGCAGGATTGCTGGCGAGGGTTGCTCCGCGAGGCTAGCCAAGTTGGTGAGCTCCAAGTTCAGTGAGAGACCCTGTCTTCACATAATAAAGTGGGGAGTGGCTGAGGAAGACACCCGACCTCCACCTTCAACCTCCACGTGCGTGCACACACAGGCACACCCTCATGTACACACTCAGGAACGTGTATGCACACAGAGATCACACGTACCAAAAAACTAAAATGTTACTTCTCTATTGATAGCGTTTAAAATTTTTCACAGCTTTAGCTTTTCCCAATAGTGCTGATTTAACATCCCTGCTCACGTGTCCCCATGTACCTTTACAAACATTTCTGTAGGATAAGATTTCCATCTCATCTGAGAAGAATCATAGATTGCTCGTTGTGGTTTTTATTCTCTTTGTTAGGAAGTTCCTGCCTACTTCCAGTCTAAACCACTCTTAGTAACTCTAGTCCATTTGCCTAAATGCTTTTGTTTCCACTCTAAGGCTAAAAGATAGCATGTATGGCGCTGTCTCCAAGAGCAACAGAGAGTTGGAAGTTTAAGACCAAACATGTCTGTTTTTTCTTATTCTTTCTTTGTAGTGAGTTTTTCTAACAAGCCCCCTGACACCTCAGCCCAGTATAGTTCTCCATATTTCTTACTACCTACATTTTGTGGGGGGCAATAACAGAACAGTGTAAGACTAGATTTCCTCAAAGACAGAAGGAAAGAATTTTGGACTAAGAGCTATATGTCCAGGAAATTGGTCCTTTTCTGAGTAAAGAGAACAACTCAGTAGCCATCATCTTGACCCTTTATTGTCATTCCTCTCTCCTTATAAGGAAGATCCAAGGCCTGGAGGGTCCACAGCCACCTTGTGATGATGGGAACAGAAGTCATGTGTTGTAGATGCTACAGCAGGACCGTGGAAGTCTGGACCCTTGACCGTGTCCTCCAGCAGTACCTAAGCTGTGATCTGTCTGCCTCTGGAGTTCCGGATCTATATGAACAATAAATCCTAACATGTATAGACAAAGCAGTATGGGTTTTGTGAGGGTGGGGATGTGATTGGGGAAGATTTTTTTTTTTCAAGACATGGTTTCTCTGTGTAGCCCTGCCTGTCCTGGAACTCACTCTGTAGACCTGACTGGCCTCAGACTCAGAGATCCACCTGCCTTAGCCTCCCAAGTGCTGCAGTTGAAGGCATGTGCCACCACCATGCTTGGATTTCTGGTTTTATTGCATAAAACCAAACAGACTCATGACACAGTCGCTCCTAGTTGTTGAACAAACAGCACTCAGTCAAAAACAGAACTGTGCTCAGGATAGAGAATGTGCTCAGCCCGTGCCAGGCCATAGGCTCAATCCAATCCCCAGCACCTCAAATGACCTTTCGAAATAAAAAATAAAAACCAACAAATAAAAAACCAGGCAAAACAACTGAGCTCAAGCAAACGAGTTGTCTAAAATATTCTTATCTCTGTACTTCAAAAGTATACCCTATGTCAATGACGTCACTTTTCTTTCAAAAAAAATATTTTTAAGATGTATTTACTTGTATTTTCTCTGCATGACTGTTTTGCCTGAATGTGCATGCCCACCAGGTGCATACCCTCAGAGGTCAGAAAAGGGTACCGAATTGACTGGTACTAGAGTTACAGAAGGTTATGACCACCACATGGGTGTTGGGAATCAAACCCACATTCTCTACAAGAGCAACAAGAGCTCTTAACCTCTGAGCCGTCTATCTAGCCCCAAAATATTATTTTCTTAACATGTTTTTACTTTATGCAGATTAATGCTTTGTCTACATATAAGGGCATCACAGGCACGCAGGGCCTACAGAGGCCAGAAGAAGGCATCGGGTCCCCTGGAACCATGTTACAGTGAGCCACCATGCCAGTGCTGGGAACCAAACCATGGTCCTCTGCAAGAACAGCAAGTGGTCTTAACAGTTGTGCCTCCTCTCCAGCCCCACTCCAACAAAATATTCGTATTTAATGCTTTTATTACTTACTTAATCTTTAATGTTTTTAATGTAATTATTTTTATCCATTGTGCAAAAATTAAAAATATCCTGCGTAGAGTTTTGGGGGGAGGGGTTTATTATATTGAGCTATGACTTTGTGTTTGATGTAAAACTGTGCATGGAACTTTCAATACGTGGGACACGCTTGTCGTTGTTCTTGTCTTCAGAGAACATAGAGTTGATTATTTCTTCCTGATATCTGCTTTAAGATGGGGCAGGGCAGCTGTCAAACAGCAACAATGGAATATTGTGAATATTTTGTCAAGTAAAAGTATGTGGGGAAAACATCTTTTTCATTTTTGCTGACAAGTTGAAGTTGCTTTTGTTTTTAAACAAGCTTGAAAGTTCTTGATAATATGCTGGGAAAAGATTAATACACAGGGCCCATTAGAGACGGGGTGTGAACGTGTCTGGTGTGGAGGCAATTGCTGGTGACACTGGATGTTCACAGAGGGATATCTGAAGATGTGTGTTGTGTACCACACATTAGGAAAGATGTATCATCACGCTTTCACCCACTGCTGTAGCAACACACTGGGTGTCTTAAAAAGTATCTTACATTTGTTGTCTCACAGGTTTGTGTAACATGAGGGTCTGCTGATTGGGGTTTCTGTCCTGCCCAGTTCCCACAGCCAGTAAGCCCCAAAGAAAAGGTACCTTTTTCAGCGGGGCAGGTCACATCTTTCTTCTTCAGTGTCTGAACAGGACTGGGGAGGAATGGGCTTCCTCCTTCCCAGAATTCTCCTGTTCTCTTTGATCCACCTCTACTTCCTGTCTGATTGTCCCACCTATACTTCCTGCCTGGCTACTGATCAATCAGCATTTATTTAAAACATAATTGACAGAATACAGAATTGTCTCACATCAGGTTTGGAGGCAAGAAATCCAAAGTCAAGGTGTTGGTAGGGCCATGTTCTTCTGAAACGTGTGGGGTGCTCTTCTGCTGCCTTCCCCTAGCTTCTTATGGCTGTCTTCCCTTGAGTCCTGTTTTCACACAGCAGTCTCCCTGTGTCATAGACATCATTTTCCCTCTGTGTATACCTACATTCCTATTTTCATCTTTCTCCCTTAGGGCCTGACCCTCATGACCTCATTTTGACTCCATTATTTCTAGTAAGATCCCATTTCTATAAGGCAATAATCTCAGATGTCTGGCCTGATATCTGAAGGTATCAATAGGTTTCAACCCATAGCACAGGTGCCTTGGTTACTGCTATGGATTAACTTCATTGGACTAAAGCGTGCTCAGAGAGCTGGTCAAACATTAAGAATAAATGTGTCGATGCAGGTGTTCCTTGAAACAGGGCACCCCACTGAATTCAGCAACAAGGCATGATGGTACGTGTCTTTAAGCCCAGCACTCAGGAGGCAGAGGCAAGACCTCTATGAGTACAAAGCCAACTCATTTTACACAGAGAATTTCAGGCCAGGGCTGGAATGGTGAGATGCTGTCTCAAAGATGATGAAGAAGAAGAGGAGAAGGAGAAGAAGAAGAAGAACGGAAGAACAATGTTCCCCTCGCAATGGGAGGGGAAATGTCGCTCAACGGTCGTTCACTTGCCTAGGGTATTATGACATCAGTTCAGTCCCCAGCACTGCAAACAACGGTGATGCCGACAATAACAATACCTGGCAGAAGCAGAAAGAGGAAGAACATTGAAGTCCTTCTTGGAGGCTGCACTCAATGATTTCAGAGTCACAGAACCATAGCTGGGAGGATGAAGGGGGACTGGCGGGGACATGACCCAGGAACTCACCCTCCCTGGTACCCAGTCCAACAGATGAGAGCATCAAGGGCCCATGACGAGACCTCCAGATCTCCAGTCGAGTGCTAGGTGGTGTCCATCGATCAGGAGTCAATGATCCTTTATTGATATCGGTGAACTTTCCAAGCGCGGGTGCTTGGAGCCATCAGCACGGCGAATAAAACTGTGAGACTCTCCATCACTTTGGTTATTGCCTTTTTTTTTTCACGCCTCATAGTGGCATCTGTTGAGCCCAGGGTTATTTAAGGCCTAATGTTCGTGGTGCTGCAGTGTACAGTGAAAGGAATGGAGTTTCAGCTAATTAAATGCCTGCATAAAGCCGAGGTGCTTGAGAAACCTCAAAATCCATCTATTGGCCTGTCCCAAAGCCAAGAGCTGCTGCTGTTATATGACACAGTAAAAGAGATGCTATGTGAATGTTTAATATTTTCTTGAACATAAATAATTAGGCTGTCTAGCCTTTCTCCAGGGCAGGAACCTGATGGCTAGCGTGCAGAAGCGTCGCAGATGTTCACAAACTGCAGAAACGTCCATTTGCTTCTGAGCGCCTTCTGAGCAATTTTTTTTCTTCCTCTAAAGAAGGAACATTTATAACTGTGAATAAATTGTTTGTGGTTTAGGCAAATGTTTAGGAATATTCAATAAAGCGTTCATCTAAATATTCAGCTATGGAGATAATTTGATTTAAATAGATGGTACTTTCAATAAATAAACATGGTTCAACATGAATAAACATTTTAAACAAGTGGCGAGCATCAAAACCCAGCTGATGTTTCATGCAAACCTTTGGAAAACACTTTACTTAGCGGTGCTTCTTAAACCTAGCACATACTGCTAACGATGCTTCCGTACCGCATCGTAAGGAGCGTTTGTGTAAAAGCGCAGCCTTGCTCCAAAGGATGCACACATCCTATGACACCGCCATTTTATTACAGTCTTTCCTTCTTTACAGCCTTTTACCGTACAGCACTATGGTGTCCGAGAGCAGGAAAAATAAGACCGCCCAGGGCTCCAGCGGTCTCTGTCTTTTACATCTCTGTGACCTGGGGTAGTTAACAGTATTTGCCTTCAATCTCACCATTTGTGTACTTGAAATCAGAACAGCTTCTTCGTAGGAATGAGGTCAGATAAGATCCTGTTATCTTCTCTATGATTCTGTATAAATGGACGGAGCACCATCAAAGTCATCTGAAGCAGACTTTGCGCAGGATTATAGCCTGTAACTGTCCCCACACACTGTGAAAGGGGGGTGTAGGTTGGTGGAGCTTCTATCTCGGGTTCAGCTTGGTTTCTCTGTGTTCTGTACCCAAAGTGTTCAAAGTCTTACCATAAAATCCCACCATGCAACCAAGAGCAAAGTCATAGCCTGTATTGTTTTGAGAATCTGATTGAGCAATAGCTCATAGGGAAGTACCCCATACCCTAGACTCTAGGGTTTTCATTTTAAAACCTGTGGCTTCTGAGAGGAACATGTTACTCAACCATGCAGAATACCCTCATTCAAACTCTTTTCTTAAAAATTATATGCTGTAGCAGGCCTGACATGGTAACACAAGCCTTTAATCCCAGCATTTGGGAGGCAGAGATAGAAAGATATCCATGAGTTCGAGGCCAGTCTAGTTTACATGGTAAATTCTAGGCCAGTCGGGGCTCTATGATAAACCCTGTTTCAAAATTATATTTTCTAATTAGCTTATAAAGTAGTAGCTTTTTGTGTGCTTTTTGGGTAACCTGCTCACACCTTTCCCCCATTCCATCCACTCCACACCTTCTAACCCTTTCCTCCCCTAGTGTTTCTCCTCTATTTTCATATCACACATGCTTTATTAACTCCATTGCTGCGGTAGTTTGAATATAATTGGCCCCCATAAGCTCTAAGGAGTGGCCCTATTGGGAGGTGTGGCCTCTTGAAGGATGTGTGTCACTGTGGGGGGCAGACTTAGAAGTTCCTTTTGTTTAAACTTCTCTCAGTCACAGTCCACTTCCTGTTGGCTTCTGATCAAGATGTAGCCAGTACCACACTCCCTGCCGTGATAGTAATGAAATAAACCTCTGAAACTGTAAGCCGCCCTCCTCAATTAAATGTTTTCCTTTGTAAGAATTGTTGTGGTCACGGTGTCTCTTCACAGCAATAAAAATCCTGACTAAGATACTTAACTTTAAGGCCTCTTAACTGCTCCCTCCTGGTTCCTTTGTTGTTTCCTGGCCTCCACAGACACTCCAGTTTAAACACAGAA